AGGATTAATCGTTATATCGCTTACATTTTAAAAGTTAGTTTTCACAAACATATTGCTAGCATTGATTTTCTTAAGTTTTCAGTATAATTTTGGGTTGAGAAATGTTGGTCCAACTCTGTGATGGCTAAGAAAAATGTGGAAAATACTGATTTGATTCATGGTTTGCAGAGGTTGTGGCCACAGTCAGCAACCACAGTGCTACATCTCGTTCCTGTGTCCTAGCCAGTGATCTCTCCCCTACAGGCTCTGGGGGATGGTGAGCAGTCCTCCTCAGCAACATTTACAGTTGATTCATGTGAGCAGTATCTCTCTTCTTTTGGCCAGAGCTCCAGGAAGTTCATAAATAGTTCCAGAGCTCTGTTTTCCCTGACACTGGCCAATGGGCTAGGTGTGTAGTCTTTAGCATTTTGGACCATCCCCTCCTATCTGAGCATATGCTGTCTTTCCTGAGATACTGGGCATTTTTTTAAAACTCTTGGACTGGGCCAAGTGAGGTGGCTCACACCTGTAATCCTAGCACTCTGGGAGGCCGAAGTGGTTGGATTGTTTGAGCTCAGGAGTTCGAGACCAGCCTGAGCAAGAGCGAGACCCCATCTCTACTAAAAATAGAAAGAAATTAGCTAGACAACTAAAAATATATAGAAAATATTAGCCAGGCATGGTGGCACATGCCTGTAGTCCCAGCTACTTGGGAGGCTGAGGCAGGAGGATTGCCTGAGCCCAGGAGTTTGAGGTTGCTCTGAGCTAGGCTGATGCCACAGCACTCTAGCCTGGGCAACAGAGTGAGACTCTGTCTCAAAAAACAAACAACAAAAAAAAACTCTTGGAGTAGATTGTCCTTGATGGTGTGGTAAAGGGCCCTTAGCCTGAGGACCAGGAAAAAACACACTAGACCAGGGGTTCTCAACAGTGGGACCATTGACATTTTGGACTGGATAATTCTTTGTTATGAGGAGCTGTCCTGTGCATTACGTTTAGCAGCATTCCTGGCCTCTACCCACTAGATGCCAGTAGCACCCTCTCAGGTGTGACAACCAAAGTGTTTTCAAACATTGCCCAGATGTCTCTGGGAAACTTAGTCACCCCCGGTTGGGAACCACTGCACCAGAGCAACAGTATTCACATGAGGCTGATCTTCCCTTCTGGAGGCAGCAGCTGTAAGGGAGGTGGTGGGGGAGACGATCTGGATCTTGGAGCAAGAGGAGGGAAGGGCAAAGAGCCAGTAAATAGGAGTGGGGGCTTCAGGGTAACAGTTTACAACAGTGAGGAGAAGGGAGGGTGGGCACAGAACTGCCAGGCTGTGAGGTGTGATGTGAGCTCCCTTCAGCAGGAACTGGCAGGAGTGTGCTAGCACAGAGCTCAGTCTTCTCTGCTCTCTCCACCTTCTCCCTGCTTGAGCCACCACGTGTCCTGAAGGAGCTTTAGACCCTCCTATTTTACCACTTTCCTCCTGACCTGTAGAGTGATGTGAGTCCAGCAAGTGGGTTAAGTTGCTTGGAGAGAGGCTGCAGTTTGATCATTTGTCTACTCAGTGGACATTTGTCAAGCACCCTCTTGGCAGGGGCTGTGCCAGGCACTGGGGACCCCCATGATGGCTCAGGACTGTATGGTCTGGGTGGGAGACAGGATCAGATAGCACAGGCAGCCCTGGGAGGAGGAGGAGGCAGGCTCTGTTGTCAGACTGCCTGGGTCTATATCCCAGCTCTGCACCTGGCTGTTGTATCTCCTTTGGCAAGTGAATAATGCTGCTAAGCCTCAGTGTCCCAGTCTGTGAAATGGGAAAGTAAGAATTCTTATCCTGTGTACATGGGAGGGGATTGAGAGCGTGTGTACACCCTATAGGATAGTGCCTGGCATTTGTAAGCACTTGCTATTATTTTAATGTTTTCTTATTACTACTATTACAGCTGTCACAGACTTAAACAGTATCAAGAAAATTGAGGGAAGAGTAACCAAAGACTTCACAGGAGTGGCATTTTTGAGATGGGTCTTAATAGGGCTTTATCAGGAAAAATAAGATTGTGGGATTGGGGGAAGATGAAGCACTAAGCAAGATTCATGCAGAAGAGCGAGCAGCTGGGAAGTCAGGGCTGCCAGCCAGCGTGGTGCATGGGAGACAGCGGCTGGCTCTGTGATCCCGAGGCCGAGGGAGGGGCAGGAAGCAAGGCAGGTAGGGCCTTGGGGTGGGGGGACACTTGGCCTGAGAGGACATAAGTATCGAACCCCTTTGGCTTGGGCCTGCTTCATTCCTTATTTCTTTCCTGCAAAATAGAGTAAGAAGAAATGGCCATTTTAATCCCATTCCCCCTCCCTGGGGCAATGAAATGCTAAGTGTTACTGAGCTTTTAGAAACAGAAAAGCAAATTGGTTTGTGGTGAGACCTTGTGCTGTCACATGGGGGCCAGGCAGGGGGGACGCTGGCAACCAGTTCACACCCAGAGAGTCCAGCCGCTGCTCGAGACATCCTGACTCTGACCACTCCAAGGGTGTCTGGCTCCTTGGCATTCACGGAGGGGCCAGTCGGCCATTGGGTTGCTCTGTGCTTTGTGCCTGTCTCTCCTCTGCCGCTCACATGCTGCCTCCGGGCAGGGGCTAGACGCATCCTAGTAGACCAGGATAACCAGGGCATCTGTGCCCAAGGAGCGGCGTGTTTATTTCCCTAGAGTCTGTGGCGTTGTGCCCAAGGCTTTGCTGACTCAGGCTGGTGCCGCCTGGCATCCTCCTCACTGCCCAGACCTCAGTCCCAAGGTCACCACGGTCCCTGGATGGTGCTGACTTTGGCGTCACCACTCTCGGAAACTTCACGCAGTGAACAGGGACTTATTGAGCACTTCCTACCGTGCTGGCTCGGGCGGTGCAGTTATGAATGAGACAGGCGCCATCGCTGGCGCTGGCGTTGTGAAACATACTGCGCTGTGGGACGGAGAGACACTGAGCAGACCGTCTGAGAGGACAAGGGCTCAGACAGGGGCAAGTACAGGAGTTGTGGCGACATAGAACAAGGCAAGGAACCTAATCTACAAGGCCTGAGAAGCTCAGGAAAGGCCTCCCTGGGGAAGGAGCCCCCGCTGAGATGTGAGAGGGCAGAGAGGCAGGCAGAGGGGTGGAGGCAGGAGGTGGGGAGCCCTCCTCACCAAGGCACCTGTGACCAAGTCCGGTGAGCTTCCTCAGCCACATCCCCCGGCCTGCCTGTGGTCTTTGGCACCACTCTCTCTCTTAAATTCTGCCCCCCCTCCCCACTCTCCCTATTCTACTTTTTCCTTTCCTCCAGTTGCTCTTTTGTCCCCTTTGCTGGCCCATTTTTCTCCTCTTGCAGATCAGGTCAGCCTTCCTAGAGGAGGCTGTGCTCTCCAAGGCCATGGACAGTGGTGACAGGAAGCCAGGCTTGGGGGAGGCCAGCCTGGCTGGTCTCTGGCTCCTGCCTTCACCCCTTACTGGTCATGGAACCTAAGACAAGCAAGTGACCAGCTGATCTGTGTGCTGCTGTCCTGTCTGTAAAAGGGGTTCTTTGAACAAGGCAGTCTTCAGTGGGGTAATGCTGCAAAGCGCTCAGCTCAGGGCCCGCGTGAACCAAGAGTTAACAGGCCCCTTCCCTTCAGGGTCAGAAACTGACTAGGTTCAGTTAACTTTCTGGTTTTTTTCTGGAAACCTGACGAATGTGGAATGTCAGGGTGTTCCCCGGCAACAGTGCTGGTGCTGAAGCTGAGCCCTGCTTGGTAAATTGCATCTGGACTAGGAGCTGCCTGTGCAACCTCTGAATACCCACTGAGCCATGGCTTGGGCTTCCCCAGTGTGGTGTCTTATAACTGGGCAGGCTCCTTGCAGGGACCCTGGAAGCTCTGTCTGTGGGGGTGTCACAGGAGCTGCCAGCTCCTATGGGGCCAGGGTGGCTCCTGCACCCAGTATGCTTACACCTGAGTTGACACCTGCAGGTGACTTGTGTCAGGTGAATGTCCAGCTCTGACATTCTATCAGTTCACTCATTTACAAGTATCTGTTGATGGCCTGCTCTGCGGTAGGCCTGAGAATGCAATGTTGAGCAAAACAGATTCATTCTCTGCCCTCAAGGTGCTTACAGTCCAGTGGGGAGATGGCTGTCAATCACAGCATCACACAAGCAGTAGTAAAAGAACACGCTGATAATATGCACATCATGCTGTGAGCGTGTAGTGGGGCCATGGGGCCTAGTTAGAGAGGTCAGGGAAGGCTTCCATGAGGAAGTCATGCTGGGGCTGGGATCTGATGGATGAAAAGGCATTAACCAGACCAAGAAGGGGGAGGGAAGGGTCCAGGAGGAGAAAACACAGGGGCCAAGGCTTTGTGGTGGGTCCAAGGTGCGGGGCATGAGAGCAGGTGAGGCCATATCCTGTGGTCCTTAGAGGCAGGGCTGAACGTCAGGCCACCCTGGGCATATGGATCAGTGAGAGCTGCTGCCCAAACACAGTCACCCTGGTGTTATTTTTGCTTTGTCATCTTAAGAACAGTGAGAAGCAGGTTAACGCAGGATAGGGATGTGTTGGTGGGAGGAGGGGTTGGCCTGATTGGATTTATAATTTGAAAAGCTTATTCTGGCTGCAGGAGGCTGAGATCAAGTCCCTGGGGAGTGAAGTTCGAAAGAACCTTGAGGGAAAAGGTTTTTAACAGAGAAGGAAGCCCAAGGTGTGTGCGGGCTTCATAGAGCATCGGAGGGGGATTTGCAGCCAGAGAGGAAAGTTGGCCTTTAACTTCAGATGTCTTGGCTGCTCCATCTTCATTTTTGGCTTCTGTGATCCCAAACCACAGAGCGGAGGAAGATGAACATGGGCTGTAACAGAAGATAGAGGAGGCCAAGGACACCCCAGCTATGGGCAGAAAACCTTCAGGGCACTCATAACAAATCAAGCCCCACGGCAGTGTTTTCTGTACCTTGGAGCGTTGTCTTGGCATCAAAGGCACACATTTTCCATTAAATGGGATGGATGAAAGTCACATTTCTCTTTGTCTCTCTCTCTTCCCTCCAGGCTTATATTTGGCACCCTTTACCCTGCATATTATTCCTACAAGGCCGTGAAATCGAAGGACATTAAGGAATACGTAAGTAGCACTGTTTATTTGAGGGGGTGGCTGGGTGTGAAGGGTGGGAGAAGGTGGATGCCTCCTTGCTGTGGGCACTAGCAGCAGAGCAGATGAGTCCCTTCATCACTCTTCTTCTCATGAGACATTCAGCAGTCCTGTCCCCTGTCTGGACCTCGAGTGTTGAAGGGAGGAAAGCAGAGAGGTGTGGCAAGAGGAGATGGAATCTGGAATGGGGGGTCCCTCTGCTCTGCCACATGCCACGAGTAACTTCACCTCCCTCAGCCTCAGTTTCCTTGTCTGGAAAGCACTCTGTAGACCATAAAGCACCAGGACTGGGAGACAACGCGGCATTGAGGGCAGGAGCCTGGGTCCTGGAGTCCAGCAGACCTTGGTGTGGTTCCTGGCTTGGCAGCTCTGCCCTCCTTCCAGTGCTGTCATTCCAGCACCTCACCTTGGAAGCCCTATTGCTGTATAAGCTTTCTGAGGGCAGGGCTGTTCTTCATTCTGTGTGTGTTTCCTGCAGCATGTCCCAGAGGGCAAGCACACAGGAACGGGATCCGGGAGGATGTACCGGTTGGAGGATTGTATTAATTACCGTTGGGTATTTGGTTGCCCCAGGCACCAGCCCTGGATATGCTGGGTGGCACCCTCAGGCAGAAAGCCTGTCAGACCAGCACTGATTGACAAGGACCTGGGTAGGGTGGTGAGGGAAGGGTGCTCCTTCCCATGTAGGACACAAACCCACATCAAAGAGGAAAGGGTATGGTTTATGACATCAAGAGACAGAGGTCAAGTCCTGGCTCTGACGTTAATGCAATGCTGGGCAAGTAGCTTAAACTTCTAAGAGCCTCCGTGTCCCCATCTGAGCAGTGGGGTCACAGCAATCCCTCTTTTACTCAGAAGATGTCACTTGGCAAGTTTGGTGCAGGTAAAGAAACATTTCAAAGCAGGCCTGGAAAGTCATTATTTTCTTTCTCAGATTTCCCAGGAAGTCTTTATGGTGAAACCAGCCACCTCCAGATCAACTGCAACCAGGACTCTCCCCCTTCTCTCCCAGTTTCCCAGAACTCCTTGCGTCTTCTCCTAAGCAGGGGACCCAGAGGGGAGTGATTTCTTCTCTGGAGATGGGGTCCTGGTACATGTGAAGGAATCTCAGCGTGCACACTATAAATAGCTGTGAAGTTGCAAGCACAGAACCTCCTGGTTCTCAATTGCCTTGGCGCAGGGCAAAGCCGTCCCTCTCCCGACCCCTCCCCACCTGCAGCACGGGGAGCTATGCCAGGGAAGGCAGGCTTATTGGCGTACCAGGTCTGATTCTTCACTTTGCAGGGGCAGAAACTCCATTCTGTCTGCTCATCTGGGAGAGATCGAACCCTGGTGAATTGTTTTCTTCTGACTAAACTCACAGGAGCCTGGTTTACGGCTAGAGTGGCAGCTCGTTAACTTCGAGTGACAGCCGGAACTGATGGCAGAGCAGCTGTTTGTGCTGGCTGCTGAGAATACACTTTCCCTATGGAAAGCTCGAGCTTGAGAGTTGAGATTAGAAGGCTTCTTGGTAAAAATGGAATCTGAAGAAAGGATCTGAGTAGCGTCAGGGGAGGCCTGCCTCCTTTCCCTGCACGCACAAACTCCTGTGTTTCCTTCCTGCAGTCCTTTTGACTAGTGGGCCTATTTGTCCGAGAGAGAAACCCAGGAGTTTCCTCTAACTCCCGCCCACTTCACACACACACTCCTGGCTGGCGACCGTGTCCCTTCTCCCCATCCCCTGAAAAATCTTTGGGTCTCTTTTCTTTCTCTGCTGCTACTCCCTAAAGTAGGTTCTCACCATTTTCCTGGAATATTGCAGTAGCCTTCTGCAGTAGTTTTTTTTTGTCACTGTAACAAATTACCATGAACTCAGAGGCTTAAAACAACACAAAGGTATTATCTTACAATTCCAAAGATCAGAGATCCAGCAGGTCCCACTGGACTAAAGTCAAGCTGGGCTGTTGCAGTCCTTGCCTTGTCCAATTGCTAGAAGGCACTCCTGCATTCCCAGGTTTGCACCCCTTCCTCCTTCAGAGCCAGCTACATTATGCCTCCCTCTAACCCAGCTGGGAAGGGTTCTCACTTTTAAGGAGCCACGTGATTACATTGGGTCCATGTGAATAATCCAGGCTCATCTTCTCATCTGAAGGTCCTTAACTTAATGACTGCAAAGTCCCATTTGCCTCATGGGGATTAGGACACAGACATCTTTGGGGAGCCACTATTCTGCCTGCCACACCTCCTAACTGGTTCCCTGCCCCTCATTTCCCAGTCTGTTGTCCATGTAACATCCAGGAGCTTTTAAAAGATGGAAACCTATTAATTTCACTCCTCCTGGTTCCTTTAATGGCTGCAAGATCGAGTCCAAACTGCATATATGGTGTTTAACACCCATCTTCATCTTGCTCTTTCCCTTCCCAGCCAGTTCTCTGCACCTGCCCTGGGTCTCAGTACCTAAGGCGTCTGTGGGCCAGCGTTATCAACGTCACCTCGGAGCTCGTCAGAAATGGAGAATCTCAGTCCCTACCCAGATATCCTGAATAAAAACAACATTTTTAACAAGTTCCCTAATTTGAGAAACAGTGCTCAAGACATTTATAGCTTCCTGTGTCCTTCCAAACTGACTGCACTAGTCAAGGGTTTTGGATAAAAACTTAAAAAGAAAGGAGTGTATGGGAATTTGTCGAATTAACTAGGAAGTGGGAGAAAGATACTCAGGACCTGGGGCAGATCTGAGAAGGTTGGGTGGTGGTCACGGCCAAGCTCGTGCCTTGGGGAGGGCCTGGTTAGGAAGCCTCTGCTGGTGTCACATCAAGGACGCCAGCTGCCTCTGTCTGTGTCCTTGGAACTTTCCCTGAAGATGCAAAGTCCTGGGTAGGGATGTCTGGTTTTTTGAAGCCCAGACAACAGGCCTAGCCTCCAACAAAAACCCTCATGCTGGGAGATTTCTCCCCGTTTAGAAGGTGTTGGATGTGACTACCAGTGGGGAAAAAAGTAGTCATTACAGATACCTCTTTGGCTGCCCAACACCTGCATCCACATCCACCCCTTTACATGTATTTTGGCTTTAAAAACAACCTTCCAGGCCTGGTGCGGTGGCTCACGCCTGTAATCCTAGCACTCTGGGAGGCCGAGGTGGGCGGATTGCTCGAGGTCAGGAGTTCGAAACCAGCCTGAGCAAGAGCGAGACCCGTCTCTACTATAAATAGAAAGAAATTAATTAGCCAACTAATACATATACAGAAAAAATTAGCCAGGCATGGTGGCACATGCCTATAGTCCCAGCTACTTGGGAGGCTGAGGCATGAGGATTGCTTGAGCCCAGCAGTTTGAGGTTGCTGTGAGCTAGGCTGATGCCACGGCACTCACTCTAGCCTGGGCAACAAAGTGAGACTCTGTCTCAAAAAAAAACAAAAAACAAAAAACCTTCCAACTGGAATTCTGTACAACTCACTCACCTGTCAGATACAAATTTCTTTTGTTGCTGAGTCAGCTCCAGGCCCAGTATCTCTGGGCAAAGTCCTTTCCTTGGGTTCTGAAAGGATCCAAACTTAATAACAGCGTTCCAGAAACTGACTTGTCAAGTGAACATCAACACCGCCCATGTACTATATTAGTGGGGAGAGAGAATAAATTAAAATAGAATTAGTTAAAATATTTAAATCTATATATAACACAGAAAGGAAAAACATATGGTTAGAAGCTGCAGTCCATATACATGCAACTGGTCATGAGTTCATAGCTGGTATTTATATCTTTTGTTAAAAGATAATTTTTAGGCTGGTGTGGTGACTCATGCCTATAATCCCGGCTTTGAGAAGCGGAAGTGGGAGGATCACTTGAGGCCAGCAATTTGAAATCAGCTTGGGCAACACAGTGAGACCCCATCTCAAAAACAAAAAAAAAAACAACAAAAAAAAAAGAGAGAGAGAGAGAAATTAGCCAGGCATGGTAGCACGTGCCTGTAGTCCCAGGTACTCAGGAGGCTAAGTCAAGAGGATCACTTGAGCCCAGGAATTTGAGGTTGCAGTGAGCTATGATCACTCCACTGCACTCTATCTAGTCTGGGTGACAGAGCAAGGCCCTCTCTTAAAAAAAACAAAGATAATTTTATAAAAAGAGTAAAATCATAACTGTTGTATACATATAAAATTAACATGTCAAAGATTTTACTTAACTCATGAATTAATGAGGGAACCAGTAAAGTGTTAAAAAATAGTTCAAAGGAGACTCCAAATAACAGACATATGTAGGCTGCCAGAAGTAATCAATATAAAAACAAGTTCGTGTGCAGAAAAAAAAAAAGAATATTCCAGAAGGGCCCTATGCTGCCCACCCCACGAGGGAAGGAGCCTGGTATAATGAACCTGCTTCCAGAAAGCTGGCTGATGCTGTGGGATACGGTATCATCCTGGAGATGCTTGGTCACTGCTGCTGGTAGCGTGGTCTCTGAGTGGTGGTCATAGCCAGATTAGCCTTGGTGAGAGGGATTCCATCTTGCACAGCCCATATGCTACCTCTGTCACTTCCATGTGGCCACTTGGTACATGAGCCCATTGAACATGCACTGTCAAGCCAGAGGAAAGAGGCTGGCTGGCACCTGCAGGCCTGGTCAACATCTCATCCACTTGGTTACTCAGAGCCTCCTCTGCTATGGGACCTGTTGGCGAGCATGAGTGTTGAGCCACAAATATCTCCATTCTTTGGTCCCATTCACATTATTCTCAGAGCACCTCAACACCCATCTCCTGCCCCTTCCAAGAACCTCATCATCTATGCAGAACTTTAGCTGGTGTTTTAAAATGTACCTGGATTTGTTTTACTCGGGGATGATAAGATACAAAGACACAGAAATGACTGTCATGAAGGAAGAGGTTTTGTTCATGTTCCCTAGAAGCAGGGGGCATGGCATGCTATGTAGGGCCATGTGGGGATACCTGGGCAGTCAGGAGGCCGCGTGGGAGTGGGGGAAACATGGGTAGCAGCCTTTA